TAATTCTTACTGCTTTGATCGGCTTAGCCAAAGTAAGTGTACCTATGTAAATGTAATTGATGGCTGCATGATTAGGATTTTACTATAAATCTTATACTGTGATAGAAGCTGTCATAACAATAAACCGCATTTTCCAGCCTCAACTGTTAGTTTTAATTTTGTGCTGTCAGTCAGGGGCAGTCACTGATGATGTCATTTGGCACCGGAACCATTTTTTACGCCAGTGGAAAACCGACATGAAAGAAGTACCAAACTTTCGCCACTTCATGGAAGTACCGAAAGTACGGTACCTGGTGCGGTGGAAAAACGCCCATAGACAAGCAGCGATCAGATAAGACACTGCAGGATGCAAAGCAGGACCAGAGCAGCTACAGTGATACCGACTCAGAGGGGAGCTACAGGTCAACGTGTTGGGAGTAAAAGGAGGCAGCCTATGGTGTCACAGCACTGGAGGAGGGACAGCCAATCATGGTAGAGACTGACACGTGCCATGGTGTTATTAATGGAAAAGAAAATTTTTCAAGGAAAAGTTAAGCCGCATTGTGCTAACAGACGCAAGGCTCATGTTGAAGACCTGTACTGATGAGACTGTCCTCATGGTTGGAAAAGCAGAGATCCTGGTGGAACTGAATGGACTGAGGGCCAGACTTCCGATTTATGTGGTTTAAGGGGATTAACCAGCATTGATGGGCAGATCATGATTAGGGATCATTCCTCTGTATTGGATCAGAGTGAACAAAGTGTCAGTGGGTGAGACGAGGCCGTCGTGAGGCGACATGCAGCGGTGTTCAGGGATGGAGTGGGAAGCAGGAAGGGGAACAAGGTCAAGCTGCAGGTGAAGCCTGGCAACACACCACGCTTCCCGAAGGCCAGGAAGGTCCCCTGTGCACTGAAGCCTAAAGTCGACACGGACATACAGAGACTGGTTGAGATTGGGGTGTTTGTGCCCAAACCACACAGTCAGTGGGCAACATCAGTGGTGCTGGATGGTAAAACATGATGGGTCAGTTCACCTGTGAGGAGACTTCAGTGGGACTTTAAATCCAGTGCTACATATCTGTGGAACCCTGTACTAACTGTGGAACTGTACCTACTTCCTGTTTTTGTGGAACTGTTTTCTGTAACGATGATGAAGAACATCTTCTGACTCTGGACAAGACCCTCAGGAGACTCGAGGAGAAATGCTTATGAGTGCGGCAAGAGAAATTTGACTTCTTCAAGTCTGCAGTGGAGCACGTGGGCCACGAAATTGATGCTGATGGGCTCCACACTGCCCCATCTAAAAGGAGAACCATTGCAGAGACTCCGGGCTCAAAGAACATGAGACAGCTGAGGTCTTTTCTTGGTCTTCTGAACTACTGTGGGAGATTCATTCCACAGCTGGCTACACCGTTAAAGTCTCTGCATGAGCTACTGAAGGAGAGCAAGTCGTGGTCAGAAGAGTGTGAGGCTGCGTTCAAGTGGACAATTGAAAAGAAAATTTTTCAAGGAAAAGTTAAGCAGTTTACAGTCAACTTTAATGTCCCATCTAAAATTAACATACCGATATGAAAGGTTTAGTAACACTGTCACCACCTCCGTAGCCAGGAACCCCTTTACTGTTATGTTATGGTCTAACTATAGACCCAAAGAGACAGGCATGCCAGTGGGCTGTAACAGTCATTGTACCATAAACCACAATGTTCTTCACAACATGACCCTGACAGGGTTCCTGTCTTACTCAGGTGTTACTCCCATGATTACTGTTGTATTTCATTGAGCATAAATATTACTTCTTTCACTGATGAACAAGCAGCTATTGGCACATTTAGACCCATTTTTGGCACCTGTGATGCCTCCCCATATGGACTGGGAGTTGTGGTGTCCCACATCATACCATCGGGAGAAGAGAAAGCAATAGGTTTTGCTTCAAGAACACTGAGTAAAGCAGAAATGAAATTTCCACAAATTGACAAAGGAGCATTGGGCCATATCGGAATTTCCACTCCAAACTGCTCAGATGAAAGTTTACCCTGTTGATGGACCATCGACTATTGGCATCCATTTTTGGTCTGGACAGCAGCCCTGGCTCCAGGCCGCATGCAGCGCTGGATGCTAATCCTGGGTGCCCACAATTATGACATGAGGTACAGGAGGTCAGGGTCTCATGCCAATGCGGAGAGTGTTGGATGCCCTGTCCAAGGTGTTGGATAGCGTCATGAGGAGATGTGCTGCGTGTGATGCACCACCAGATCTCCAGCCTTACATTTACCTGGGGAGGGAGCTGGCGGTGACAGCTGGATGTTCTGAGGCAATGGGGCATTCATGTAATAATTCCACAGAAGCTGAGAGAATCGGTGCTAACAGAGCTGCACTCTGGTCATTGTGGCATCATCCCAATGAAAGAGCTCACTGGTAGCTATTTATTCTGGCTGGGGCTCGATCACGACATTGAGTCCAAGGGCAGACCATGCCCATCATGCCAAGTTATCAGAAACACCCCAAGCCTGGCCCCACTGTACCCCTGGGATTCGCCAACATGTCCCAGGGAATGCATCCATTCGCGTTTCACTGGATCAGTCGAAGGTGCCGTGCTACTGGTGACTGTGGAGACTCATTCAAAGTAGCCAGTGGTTGCAGTTGTGTCCACCCTCATCTCTGAAGAGACTATCCAGACATCGAGGGAGATGTTTTGCTGCTTTGGCCTGCTTGGGCAGATTGTTACTGACAATGGGCCATCATTCGTGTTCAAGGATATGGAGGAGTTCCTGAAAGGCAATGGAATCAATCTCATGCTCTCAACTCCATACCAACCCTCCAGCGATCGATTGGCTGATAGAATGATTCAAACCATCAAACATGTTGTCAAAGTATCCAAAATAGAACAGGATAAAATAACCTTTATTGTCAATGCACAACATACAATGAATTTTAAAAAGTGCTTCTCGCATGAAACATCGCATAACATCAAGACCCCTGCTACAGACCTCAGACAGATGAGGCCTGTTTCTTACCATGCACAGACCAGGGACAACCTGACATGACGCATGCTTCTCTCTGCTGTTATGAGAATGCTGTTGTCAGGAAGCCACCCTAATAAAATAAGCCCCACATGTGGATGGCTTTTACACCTTTTTAAATAACTATAGGTTATAATTCCTATAAGGCAGCAGCAGTGGCAGTCAGTGGTGCTGTAGGACCTCTGTCTCTCCATAAAATTACTGCTTTAGCAGCAGTTCAGAGGGCAGTGCTGCCGCTGCACATCCCCAGTGCTGGGGGCTGAGTCCCCTGTCTGTCTGCAGTTTGCTCGCTCTCCCTCTATCACATGGGTTTCTACCTGCAGTCCACAAACACGTGTTTATGCTACTTTCTAAATTCTGCATGACATTTGATAGCCTCTGTGTGTGTATGTGCCCTGTGATGGACTGGAATCCCCAGCAGGGTGAACCTGTATCTCAGGCCTTGTGCTGTCTGAAATAGACCCCCCACCCTGCCCCCACAAAGCAGGGTAAGTGGTAGGAGGATGGATGGATTAATGGATGGATATTTGTGTTTCCTTCACAGAGACCAAGTGAATAGATGTAATTCAGATCCACATGAAGGAGACTTGTCATCTATCTTCAAGGTCTGCATTTATTGCTGAAATTTATTGTCTTAAATTTTATCTAAATTGGCAAACATCTACAGATGAACAATTAGTAGTTTATTAGATATCTGCAAATTAAGTGAAATTCTAAAAAGGTATGATGCGGGCAATAATAATAATGAAACTAACTGTTTATTTCAGATACTAGAGGAAAAAGTTCAAATGTTTCTGAAGGATGAGCTGAGAAGATTCAGAAGGTACCTAGATCCGAATTACCCAGAATGCTCTGAGACTCAGCCGGAGGAGGACAATGACCTGGACAGTGATGGTCAGACGCAGAAGGCCTGTGGTAGAGAGGGAGCTCTGAAGATCACACTGTACATCCTGAGGACCATGGAACAAAATGATCTCGCTGACATGCTGGAGAAGAGTAAGAGCTGTATCTCATTCTGTGTGTGTTTGGCCACAGAAAAATAGTATATGAAAAAATGTGTATTACATATCAGTTTATCATTTTATTTAGTTTTTCTTCTATGAGTAAAAAATGTGTGTTTGTTTAAAGTTTGTGGATTTACCTCTCATTGCTTTTCAGGAGATGTTCTGTCACAATGTCAGCCCATAGTTCAAAGTAACCTGAAGAAGAAATGTGAGTGTGTATTTGAAGGGAAAGCTAAGGAAGGACAGCCAACACTTCTCAATGAGATTTACACAGAACTCTACATAACTGAAGGTAGAACTGGAGAAGTCAATGATGAACATGAAGTGAGACAGATTGAAACAGCGTCCAAGAAAAGACTAACAGAAGATACTACAGTCAAGTGCAATGATATATTTAAACCCTTATGTGGGCGTGAGGCACCTATCAGAACTGTACTCAGTAAAGGGGTGGCAGGTATCGGGAAAACAGTCTCTGTGCAGAAATTTATTCTAGACTGGGCAGAAGGAAAAGCAAACCAGGATGTTCACTTCATATTTACTCTTCCTTTCCGCGATCTGAATTTGATTAAGGATGAATACAGTCTGATTGAACTGCTTCACCGCTTTATCCCAGAACTGAAATCATTTGAATCCACTGAGCTGTTTAGGTACAAAGTCTTGTTCATCTTTGACGGTCTGGATGAGTGTCGCCTTCCTCTAGATTTTCAGAACAATGAAAGCTGGTTTGATGTAACAAAGAAAACATCACTGGATGTGCTGTTAACTAACCTCATTAAGGGGAATCTGCTTCCATCCGCTCTCCTCTGGATAACCTCCCGGCCAGCAGCAGCCAATCAGATACCTCCTGAGTGCGTCCACCAGGTGACAGAGATACGAGGGTTCAGTGATGCCCAGAAGGAGGAGTATTTCAGGAAGAGATTTAGTGATCAGAGCCTGGCCAGCAGGATTATCACACATGTGAAATCATCAAAGAGCCTCATCATCATGTGCCACATACCTGTGTTCTGCTGGATTTCAGCCTCTGTCCTTGAGAAGCTCTTAAGTGAGACTGACAGTGGAGAAATTCCAAGAACTCTGACTGACATGTACACACACTTCCTGATCTTTCAGACAAGTTTAAAAAATGACAAGTATATGAAAAATGATGACATCAAGCGGAATAAATACAACAAGGAATTCCTTTTAAAACTTGGTAAACTGGCTTTTGACAACCTCAAGGAAGGCAATCTCATATTTTATGAGCAAGATCTGACAGAGAATGGCATTGATGTCAGGGAAGCTTCAGTTCACTCTGGAGTGTGCACAGAAGTCTTTAAAGAGGAATATGGGTTGTATCAGGAGAAGGTGTACTGCTTTGTACATCTGAGCATCCAGGAGTATCTTGCTGCTTTATATGTGTTTCTATCAAATTCATCAGCTGACCTGCTGAAGACTGTGGTGGATGAGGCATTAAAGAGCAAGAATGGACACTTGGACCTCTACCTCCGCTTCCTCCTGGGCCTCTCAACAGACTCCAGTAAGTCTCTATTGCAGAGACTACTGGCACAGACACAAACCAGCTCACATAACATTGGGGAAACAGCCCAATACATCAAGGAGAAAATACAGGAGAATTTATCTCCAGAAAGGACCATCAACCTGTTCCACTGTCTGAATGAACTGGGTGACAATTCTCTAGTAGAGGAAGTACAAAGACACATGAATTCAGGACGTCTTTCAGCAGAAAACCTCTCACCTGCACAGTACTCAGCTCTGGCCTTTGTGATGCTGATGTCAGATGAGGAGCTGGATGTGTTTGATCTGAAGAAATTCGTCAGATCAGATAAAGAGCATTGGAGGCTGCTGCCTGTGGTCAAGACATCTAGGACAGCTCTGTAAGTGACGTGGGGATGGGAAAACACATCCTGTCTGGCAGGTTTACATGTACGTTGTTTGAAATGTATAAAATATACAGTTTATTCCTCCTCATGGATTAATAACCAGGCTTGATTTTAGTGATAATCTGGAACACAGATTTTATAATGACTGACGGTAGTAATGGTTTAAAAGAAAAAAGTGACATTTCCATCCCCATCCAGTCTGCCTGTAGATCGTGGGTGCGGCATCCTAACCTGCTACAGAAACGGGGGCGGGGGGCTCTCTATCCAGAACAGGGACATTCAATCAGCGGACTGCAGTCTGAATTCAGACAGAAACACAGTTTAATCCAGACCCCCCCCCCCCTTTCTTTCCCCCTCCTCGAGCTGACACCTTATCGTGGTGGAGGGTTTTGCATGTTCCAGTGATCCCAGGAGCTAAGTTGCCCAGGGCTAAATGCCCCTGGTAGGGTCACCCAAGGGAAACAGGTCCTGGGTGAGGAACCAGATGAAGTGCAGCTCACCAGACCCCTTATGATGAGAAATAACATGGATACACATTTCCACTCGTCCGGACGCGGGTCACCGGGGCCCCCCCTGGAGCCAGGCCTGGGGGTGGGGCTTGATGGCAAGTGCCTGGTGACCAGGCCTGCACCCATGGGGCCTGGTCAGGCACAGCCCAAAGAAGGCACGTGGGTCCCCCCTCCAATGGGCTCACCACCTGTAGGAGGGGCCAAAGGCGTCGAGTGCAGTGCAAGTTGGGCAGTGGTCGAAGGCGGGGACCTTGGCAGTCCGATCCTCAGCTGCAGAAGCTAGCTCTAGGGACATGGAATGTCACCTCTCTGGCAGGGAAGGAGCCTGAGCTGGTGCGCGAGGATGTGAGGTTCTGACTAGATATGGTCGGGCTCTCCTCAACACACGGCTTGGGCTCTGGAACCAGTCTCCTTGAGGGGGGTTGGACCCTCTTCTACTCTGGAGTTGCTCGCGGGGAGAGGCGCCGAGCAGGAGTGGGCATACTTATTGCCCCCTGACTGGGTGCCTGTGCGTTGGGGTTTACCGCAATGGACGAGAGGGTAGCCTCCCTTCACCTTTTGGTGGCTTTATGCACCAAACAGCAGTTCAGAATACCCACCCTTTTTCGAGTCCTTGGAAGTGGTGTTGGAGATCACTCTTCTTGGGGACTCTTTTGTTCTGCTAGGAGATTTCAATGCTCATGTTGGCAATGACAGTGAGACCTGGAGGGGCGTGATTGGGAGGAACAGCCCCCCCAATCTGAACCTGAGTGGTGTTTTGTTATTGGACTTCTGTGCTCGTCATGGATTGTCCATAATGAACACCATGTTCAAACATAAGGGTGTTCATATGTGCACTTGGCACCAGGACACCCTAGGCCGCAGTTCGATGATCGACTTTGTGGTCATGTCATCAGACTTGTGTTGGACACTCGGGTGAGGAGAGGGGCGGAGCTGTCAACCGATCACCACCTGGTGGTGGGTTGGCTCCGCTGGTGGGGGAGGAAGCCGGTCAGGCCTGGCAGGCCCAAGCATATAGTGAGGGTCTGCTGGGAATGTCTGGCGGAATCCCCTATCAGAAGGAGCTTCAATTCCTACCTCCAACAGAACTTCACCCATGTCCCGGGGGAGGCGGGGGACATTGAGTCTGAATGGGCCATGTTCCGCGCCTCCATTGTGGAGGCAGCTGACCGGAGCTGTGGCCAGTGCTTGTCGCGGCGGCAATCCCCGAACCCGCCGGTGGACACTGGTGGTGAGGGATGCCGTCAAGCTGAAGAAGGAGTCCTATCAGGCGTTTTTAGCCTGTGGGACTCCAGAGGCAGCTGATGAGTACTGGCGGGCTTCCAACGCGGCTTCGGTGGTCGCTGACGCAAAAACTCGGGTGTTGGAGGAGTTTGGCGAGGCCATGGAGAATGACTTCCGGACGGCTTTGAGGAGATTCTGGTCCACCATCCGGCGGCTCAGGGTGGGAAAGCGGTGCAGCATCAACACTGTTTATGGTGGGGATGGGGCACTGCTGACCTCAACTCGGGACATTGTGGGTCGGTGGAAGGAATACTTTGAAGACCTCCTCAATCCCACTGACATGCCTTCCAATGAGGAAGCAGAGTCTGGGGACTTGGGGGTGGACTCCCCTATCTCTGGGGCAGAGGTCGCTGAGGTGGTTAAAAAGCTCCTCAGTGTCTGGGCCCCGGGGGGTGGATGAGTTCCGCCCAGAGTTCCTCAAGGCTCTTGATGTTGCAGGGCTGTCCTGGTTGTCACGCATCTGCAGCATTGCGTAGACATAGGGGGCAGTGCCTCTGGATTAGTAGACCGGGGTGGTGGTCCCCCTCTTCAAGACGGGGGTCCGGAGGGTGTGTTCCAACTATAGGGGGATCACACTCCTCAGCCTCCCTGGAAAGGTCTATTCGGGGGTCCTGGAGAGGAGGGTCTGCCGGATTGTGGAACCTTGGATTCAGGAGGAGCAGTATGGTTTTCGCCCTGGCCGTGGAACAGTGGATCAGCTCTATACTCTCTGCAGGGTCCAGGAGGGTGTGTGGGAGTTTGCCCAACCAGTCTACATGTGCTTTGTGGACTTGGAGAAGGCATTTGACCGTGTCCCTTGGTGGGTCCTGTGGGGAGTGCTCTGGGAGTATGGGGTGCCGGGTTTCCTATTAAGGGCTGTTCGGTCCCTGTACGACCGGTGTCAGAGCTTGGTCCGCATTGTCGGCAGTAAGTCGGACTCGTTTCCGGGTTGGACTCCGCCAAGGCTGCTCTTTGTCATCCATTCTGTTCATAACTATTATGGACAGAATTTCTAGGCACAGTCAGGGCATTGAGGGTGTCCGGTTTGGTGACCTCAGGATTAGGCCTCTGCTTTTTGCAGATGATGTGGTTCTGTTGGCTTCGTCTGACTTTTAAGTGAATTCATCGGCTCTCGCTGGAGCAGTTCACGGCCGAGTGTGAAGGGGCTGGGATGATAATCAGCACCTCCAAATCCAAGACCATGGTCCTCAGCCGGAAAAGGGTGGAGTGCTCTCTCCAGGTCGGGGAGGGAGTCCTTCCCCAAGTGGAGGAGTTTAAGTATCTCGGGGTCTTATTCACAAGTGAGGGAAGGATGGAATGGGAGATCGACAGGTGGATTGGTGCCGCGTCAACAGTGATGCGGGCACTGCATTCGTCTGTCATGGTGAAGAAGGAGCTGAACCAAAAGGCAAAGCTCTCAATTTACCAGTCAATCTACATTTCTACTCTTACCTATGATTATGAGCTGTGGGTAGTGACCGAAAGAATGAGGTCGCAAAAATGCAAGTGGCCGAAATGAGTTTCCTCCGCAGAGTGGCTGGGCTCTCCCTTAGAGATAGAGTGAGGAGCTCTGTCATTCGGAAGGGACTCAGAGTAGAGCTGCTGTTCCTCTGCATCAAGAGGAGTCAGATGAGGTGGCTCGGGCATCTGGTCAGGATGCCTCCTGGACGCCTCCCTGGTGAGGTGTTCCGGGCATGTCCCACTGGGAGGAGGCCCCGGGGAAGACCCAGGACACGCTGGAGGGACTATGTCTCTCGGCTGGCCTGGGAACGTCTCGGGATTCCCTCAGAAGAGCTGGACGAAGTGGCCGGGGAGAGGGAAGTCTGGGTTTCCCTGCTTAGGCTGCTGCCTCCGCGACCCGACCCGGAAAAGCGGTAGGAGATGGATGGATGGATGGATGTTTCTTTTGACATTATACAGTCAGGACCATAAATATTTGGACAGAGACAAAGTTTTTCTATTTTTAAGTTCTGTACATTACCACAATAAATTTTAAAAGAAGTCAGACGCAGTTGAAGTACAGACTTTCAGCTTTAATTCAGTGGGTAGCACAAAAACATTCCATAAAAATGTGGGGAACTAAAGTAATTTTTCTACACAATCCCCTCCTTTCAGGGGCTTATAAGTAATTGGACAAATTAATATAACTGCAAATAAAATGTTCAATTCTAATACTTAGTTGAAAACCCTTTGCAGGCAATGACTGCCTGAAGTCTTGAACTCATGGACATGACCAGACGCTGGGTTTCCTCCTTTTTAATGCTCTGCCAGGCCTTTACTGCAGCAGCTTTCAGTTGCTGTTTGTTTGAGGGTCTTTCTGTCTGTAGTTTAGTCTTTAGCAAGTGAAATTCAAGCTCAATGGGGTTGAGATCAGGTGACTGACTTGGGCGTCCGAAAATATTCCACTTCTTTGCTTTAATAAAGTCCTGAGTTGCTTTTGCTGTGTGTTTTGGGTCATTGTCCAACTGTATTATGAAACGCCGCCAATCAATTTGGCTGCATTAGGCTGGATTTGAGCAGACATGATATCTCTGAAAACCTCAGCATTCATTCGGCTGCTTCCATTCTGTGTCACATCATCAAGAAACACTAAAGACTCAGTGCCACTGGCAGCCATGCACGCCCAAGCCATCACACTGCCTCCACCATGTTTTACAGATGATGTGGTGTTCTTTGAATCATAAGCTGTTCCAGCCCTTCTCCAGACTTTTTTCCCCCATCATTTTGATACAGGTTGATCTTTGTGTCATCTGTCCAAAGAATGCTGTTCCAGAACTGTGCTGGCTGTTTTAGATGTGTTTTTGCAAAGTCCAGTCTAGCCTTTCTATTCTCAAGGCTTATGAGTTGCTTGCATCTTGCAGTGAACCCTCTGTATTTGCTTTCATCCAGTCTTCTCTTTATGGTAGACTTGGATATTGATACGTCTACCTCCTGGAGAGTGTTGTTCACTTGATTGGCTGTTACGAAGGGGCTTCTCTTCATCATGGAAATGATTCTGCGATCATCCACCACTGTTGTCGTCCGTGGACGTCCAGGCCTTTTTTGCGTTGCTGAGTTCACCAATGCTTTCTTTCTTTCTCAGGATGTACCAAACTGTGGATTTTGCCACTCTTAATGTTGTGGCAATTTCTCAAATTGTTTTTTTCTGTTTTTTTTCTGCATACTTGACCACGTGTTGTATGTTCACACCTCAATTTTCCAAATGCAAACAAAACACCTCAAATCAACTCCAGGGCTTTTATCTGCTAAATTGATAATGAAAGAATGAAGGAATTGCCCACACCAGTCCATGAAATAGCTTTTAAGTGAATTGTCCAGTTACTTTTGGCCCCTTTAAAAAGAGGGTGGAACATGTTAACGAGCTGAAACTCCTACACCCTTCATCCAGTTTGAATGTGGAAACCCTAAAATGAAATCTGAGAGTCTGCACTTTATGTCCATGCCCATTGTATAACTTCAATTAGAATATATTTCAGTAAACAGGTAAAATAGTAAAACTTGTGCTCGTGTCCAAATATTTATGGTCCTGACTGTATATCAGTACCATTACTGGGGTATAGATTGTGTATGTCTCTGTCTTAATTAGGGCTGCAACTAACGACTATTTTGATAGTCGACTAGTCATCGACTATTAAAACGATTAGTCGACTAATCGGATTATAAATTGCATAATTATAAAATGGCTCCTATTTAGCTACCAGCTTTTACATTTAGCATGAGGTTATTGTTCGACATCAATGCCGCAAAACAACACATGTAAAATCTTTTGCTGTGACAGTGCAAATACGTATTTTATGTGCATTT